TATGTAAAATTATAAAAAGATTTAAGGATATGTTGGACGTAATAAATAAACAATTAGCATTTCCATGTATATCGTTATGTATTTACAATTGACAACAAAACAATAAACGTAACAGATAGCCTCGCCCTCGGCCGGAAAGTATAATCGAGGTATCGTTCTAGGAGAGCGCGAGGCCAGAGAGAGCTAATGGTCTCACATAAATATAATAATTATCCATCATATAATAATTTATTACAATATGTAATATGTGTATAATATATATATATATATAATATGTTATTTAAATTTCTTAAACATCTGCTTAACTGTCCGACATTATTTTTCTTGTTGCTTTCTTTGTCTTTCTATCTCTTCCTTTTCCACTCACTTTTAATTACTATTACCAGCTTTGTTCCTTAATCTTTAATATATTCGGATTGTCCCGTACTTGATGATGATATCGTACAACGCCCACATTCATTTTACGATTGCGAGTACTGCTAAAATTTACGTTCGGCGATATGATGACGTCTTTTCTTTGTTCTTTTTTTTTTTTCAAAATTCCAATTCACGAACGCATCTGGATCGTTTCGCCATTATATTTGTCAAACATCACGGCTCCAGGATATTTTACATTCTTCCTTCATCCACGCTTTATGAGCAGGTGTTTCTGCAGCCAATTTGGGATCTTTCCGCTCTACGAGCTCGAATTAGTTCAATTACAAAAGTATAAGATCCTTCTAGGACGGTAAGATCCTTTGATTATGAGGACCCAAGGATTCAAGGATTTCAGGAGCTAACTAAACCACTTCGTGGTCGCGATCGTCGTTTTGCTCAGAAAGCAAGCAAAATGCAACCTTTGGTATCACATTTAGCAAAGGTGCATATGTATAAAACTTTAACTTTCCTCTATTGATTTATCGATAAAATTGTTTCCTGCAAAGAGGATTTTGATAATATTCGAATTTTATTAATTCTTTGATCTTCAAAAACTTATTAATTTTACTTAAAATGACGTGTGAAAGAGTTGAAGAGATTTTATTTTATTGATAAATTAACTTTGAAAGTTTCGCATTGCATTTTGCATTGATATTGCACGTATACTTTGGTTATATCTTTAAAGAAATATCTTTAAAGAAATATATATTAATTTATTACGCAAATCTATTTTAAGTAATTATTTTAAATACGAAAAGAAATGCAGTTCGTATGTGTGAGTCCTCCATATTAATTTCTTGTGGCAGTGTATTACGCATAACAGATTTACGTTAGTCTTTATTTTACACTTATATATATATATATATATATGTATATATTTATACAAAAAAAATAATCACATACCGTGTATCCGATGAAAGTCGAACTTTGAAGAGTCTGTACCACATGATTAAATACATCGGATAGTTTCGTGGTGTTTTGCGAGAAGAACAGTTCTGAAGGAAATCGACTTACATTGTGAATGACATTGTGAATGTCTGAATGTAAAACACGCTATTTAACGGGATTTATTAATCTCTGTAAAAATTTTAAGAATTCAAGAAAAGTATAAAAGATATGAAAATATGAAGAATGATGCTTTATAGAAATTTATATTTAATACAAAGAGATAATGTTGGAACAAATGAAGAAAATTAAAAACATTCATAAGATGATGATTTAAAAATCCGATAATTTTTATATATATAATATATATAATATAAAACACATATGTGTGTGTGTGTGTGTGTGTGTGTGTGTGTGTGTGTGTGTGTGTGTGTGTGTGTGTGTGTGTGTGTGTGTGTGTGTGTGTGTGTGTGTGTGTGTGTGTGTGTGTGTGTGTGTCGTAGT